CCCTTGGTACTGGCCACTGTCCGCAGACAGGCTACTGGGCTAGATGGACCTTTGGTCTGACCCAGTACAGCCGTTCTTATGTTCTTATGTTATGTTAAATCTGATAGTCTCTCCCCATCTCTCTGCAAAGATTTAATAGATGCTGCAGTGTTAGCCTACATTGTTAAGATTTAATTTTTTATGGTATTCTACAATATACGTATATAGTTTCCACCATAGCAAAAATTCATGATATTGTCAGAATCACTCTGAAAATGCATCATTGTATTCCATTATCTTATTCTTTTATTGTCTGTGCACTTACTGATTTACTAAATTCATTAATGTGTGATGGAACACCACACCATTAGTGCAAATAGATGTTCTCTACTGTGACAAGAATGTTTAGTTGTGCTGTGCTATTTTGAATTCATGCTGTTCAGCGTGCTTGCTATCAGCTGGGCTGTCCCAGATTCAACTGGACCAATAACCTAAATAAAAAAGGCTCTCTATATCCCATTACCACACATCATAGTTCTTTGCTTGGCATGCTTTTAATAAATAGCTAGGTGGGAGGAATTTTCACCCCTCCCCATTCATTAGACTTTTCCGCTAACCTGTTTGGTTGGTTGTGTTGTAGAATATGAGTTGATGGTCCTTCATTGAGAACAACAAGGCAGCGAAAGCTTGCTAGAAAGAAGTGATCTGAGGACTGCAAAACATGTACAAAATTATTGTCTGAAAAAAGTGTAGAAGTGTGTCAAGTTCGTGCAGTAAGGATGAGATGAAAATGGTACAAGCAAATGTCACCGTTTTTCAGTCTGTTGTGAGTTTAAATACCTCAGGCAACAAAAATTCCTATTGAGTTTAACCAAGGACCCGATTTACAATCCACTGATGTCTTTAGGAGTCTTCATTGGCTTCACTGGGCTCTGTTTCAGGCTCTTTATCCATATTAGAAAGCAACAGGAACTTTTCCTGTACTTCAGATAAGTATTTGGAGCCAAGAACAATCCTCTATGTGAAGAAATTAATGAGTGGTTGCCAACCTTGTGCCTCATCCTTCACTATTGTAAGAATGTCCTAATTCCCCTTCACCTAAGTAGGGAAGGATGGGAGCCAGAAGCTACTCAGGTCCTGATCCAAAGCCCTGAAATAAATGGAAAGATTCCCATTGATAACAATGGACTTTAGATCAGGCCCTGAGTGCCTCATTGTGAGGTGCTGAGTATCTTCTGATGCCTCTGACTGAGCATATGCGTACTACGCTGAAGCTGTGATGTGTGATTTTTTTTCAGCTCACATAGGCTCATGCTAACTTTGCTTGAGTTACCACCATAAAATAACACTGTGAAGGTTGCAGCACACATGGTGGCTTGGGTTAGCCA